AAGAGGTGAAGCAAGGAAAGAGAGATGAATTCTCTATATGTAGTGAGGATTTGCTAAGATTCAAAGGTCGGGTTTGTGTCCCGAATAATGAGAGTGTAAAGAAAGCTATCTTAGAAGAAGCACATCATTCTCGTTATACAATACATCCCGGAAGTATTAAAATGTATCAGGACCTGAAGAAAACCTTTTGGTGGAATAATATGAAAAAAGAGGTAGCACTATTTGTGTCTAAATGCCTAACATGCCAGCAAGTAAAAGCTGAACATCAAAGGCCCGCTGGGTTGTTGCAGCCTTTACCCGTGCCAGAATGGAAGTGGGAGCACATATCTATGGATTTTGTCTCTGGCTTGCCTAAAACAAATTCAGGACATGATAGCATTTGGGTCATTGTGGACCGGTTGACCAAAGCTGCGCACTTTCTACCGATTCGCACGATGTACACTTTGGATCGACGGGCTCAGTTGTACATTAAGGAAATAGTGCGATTGCATGGAGTTCCTGTCAGTATTGTATCGGACAGGGATACTCGGTTTACTTCTAAATTTTGAGCTAGACTACAGTCAGCCATGGGGACGAGACTCACCTTTAGTACTGCCTTTCACCCCCAAACTGATGGACAATCGGAGAGGACCATCCAAACCTTGGAAGATATGCTGAGGGCCTGTATTATTGACCTTACAGGAAGCTGTGATGACCATTTACCCCTGATTGAGTTTGCTTATAATAATAGCTTCCAAGCCAGTATTCAGATGGCACCATATGAAGCCCGGTATGGAAGAAAATGCAGGTCACCCATATGTTGGGACGAGGTTGGTGAAAGAAAGCTTTTGGGGTCAGAAATTGTTCAGATAACCACAGATAAAATAGCATTAATTCGTGAAATGCTCAGGACAGCTCAGTGTCGGCAAAAGAGTTATGCCGATAACCGAAGGAGAGATCTTGAATTTGAGGAAGGTGATCGAGTTTTCTTAAAAATCTCACCAAGCATTATGAGATTCGGCAAGAAAAGAAAGTTGAGCCCACGTTACATCAGACCATTTGAAATCCTGGAAAGAATCGGAGGTGTCGCTTATAGACTTGCCTTACCACCTAAATTGGCAAATGTCCATAATGCCTTTCATGTATCTTCACTACGAAAATATCAGCCCGACCCGTCCCATATCTTAAAATATGAACCTTTACCGATCAGGAAGGACCTATCCTTCATTGAGTAGCCAATTTTGATACTGGATAGAAGGGTGCAAGTGTTACGTAACAAGGAGATTCCTTTAGTCCGTGTATTATGGCGGTACCATTCAAGAGAAGAGTCGACTTGGGAACGAGAAGACGAAATCAGAAAAAAATACCCCTATCTTTTTCAGTAATCAGGTACACAAATTTAGAGGACTAAATTTCTTTAAGGGGGGAAGAATGTAACAATCCTAAAATTTCAAAAAAAAAAAAAAAAGGAGAAAATATGTTTTTAAATAGGTGATGTTTTGTTTGAGTATGATGGTCCTTGGGGACCATCACTATTTTCAAAAGGTTTTGCCTTTGCCTTTGCCTTTACTTTTTCTTTTGCCTGCTTTTGCCTCCTGCTGCTTGCAGCTGGCCACGTCCTTTAGCGGACGTGGTTTTCGTATGTTAAAAGCAGACGCTTAACGCGACACCTCAGGTATGAGGTAGAGCGTAATAAAATATTATAATAATACGTTCTAAGAATTTAAATAGGGGGAGGTGAGCACTCCTACCCTAGAAAATTTTGAGATCTCTCTCTAGCCGAATTTTATCGAAGTTTCCTCTCAAATATTTGTGGGTAAGTGACATCGTCTTTCTGAAAAATAGTCTATTTTTAATAAATAGTGATATTTCCGTCTAGGATCTTTATTTTATTAGTTTTGTGTGTAAGTGACCTCATTGTCTTGAAAAATAATTCATTCTTTTTAAAAATAAAATGAAATAAATATTTCTGCTTATTATCATGAATTTTAGGCGCGATAAATTTTATGCGCACGTGACCTCATTATCTTGAAAAATAATCTTTTTGATAAAAATTGTGACATTTTATCTATGTTAGAAATTTTGAATGCTGTAAATTAGAAAAATAAATTTATTTATTTTTCTTGTTTATTGTTAGAAATAAATGTGATATTTCTGCTTCTAGTAAAATTGTGATATTTCTTTCTACTGTTTTGAATATTTAGACATTGTAAAATTCATGTGCAAATGACTGCCTTATTATTTAAAAAATTGAAATTTTTGCAATTGATTATAGTATTGTTGTG